AATTTACCAAGAGGATAAGGCAAATAGGACAAAATGTAAATAATTGTTGGTATGCAGGAGTTTCGTGTACTAGTCTTATAGTTTTCTGTAGGTTTGAAATTACATCAAAACAAAAAGTTATTTTTTTTTAAAAAAAGGTAAATTTAAAAAAGAAACAGGAAAAATCTAAAGAATGATGATGAGACGATATTATTCAAACATTGAGCTTCATACTGGAAACTAAGAGCTCATTTTGCATGCGTTTAAGTATTTATCCAACTTAACCCCCCATGTCACTCTGTTTTCTAGTGTGTTTGTTACAGTGCTTCGAGATATGTCAGTAACCCCTCACGGAGTCATGGGCTCCTGGGGCCAGCAGGCGTCACAGACTTCATCTTGTTCTCTCTCCCATTCCATTCTTGAATTGCCTCTAAACTCTTCCAATCTGTGTTTAAACACCTAATTCACTTTAGCAAGTCTGAGGACATTTACTCTTCTGGTGAGACCAGGTCTCAGCTTTCTTTCTGAGCCAAGAGTTAATACTTCTCCATTCATTACCACTGTGTCTCATAAAATACTATTTCCCTCTGGGTGAAAGAGTGGCCATTCCCCTGCTTCCCAAACTGTGTTCCAAATGCCGTTAGGCACCACAACAAACCCACAGGGATGATTTAGGACATACTAATGGGATTTAGGACATCCCATTGTTTCATGGGAAACAATACCTCATCTGTCAGAGCTTGCTGGAGCTCACAGTTTCAGTAGTAACCTGACATAGTTCCCAGTTTTAATGTTAGGTCACTGCAGTCCTGTCAATGAAGTCATATCTCTGCAAATCCATTGTTTTAGTGGTTGCGCTAATGAAAAGCAAGTACTGCATGAAAACCAGCGTGGAACAGAAAATGAGGTTGGCCACGTCCAGTTTGATTCTAAGGTTTATACCGCCCAACTCATTGTACCTTAGAGTTCTAACTCATCTTGATTGAGGAATGTCTCAGTGATACTCAGTATATACTTTATATGGGTTCTTTTAATAAAGGCAGTGGTGAAAGGACTTTGTGAAGTTAAAAATGCTGTGCAAACACAAGTTCTTAACAACTTCATTAATATACTATTGTAATTTTCTATTAGTGAAGACATAGAATTGAAAGTTTATTCAACTGAATGGAATTGATCCCTTAGTAAACTTTCTTCATCATGTTGTTTCCGTAAGAGAAGTGCATTTTTGGATGTTCATCTCCACTTGTTGCGTCTTCCTTCCCTCTCGTGTTAGGGCTCATGACCAGCAAGATGGCCATAAGGCTAAGAACCAAATAATAATTATTCCTGTTATTCACATTTATATATAATTTAAAATTTTCAATGTATTATGGTTTGAATGATCCACTAACTATGGAGGTACATCTTTTAATATTTTAGAGGTAATATTACATTTGTATAGCTTAGTAATCATAATTAAACATTTTTCTCTTATGAGATTTATGCAATTGTCATTGCTTATCAAAGCAAACAGGGTGTACTAACCCATCTGTTAGGTTCAAGATTAGAATTTGAAGTTTAATATAAACAACAACAAAATGGAGGTCATAGATCATCACAGAAGGTTACTGTTGAAAGGTATTTTAAAGACAATATATTTCAATCTTCTTGTTACACAAAAGAAAAAAATGAAGCCCAGAGACTTGAAAGGAAATCTCATGATAAACTGTCCATAACCCCAAATGTCTTCTTGTTCTCACTTGTGTGTGACAGCCCATTTCCTGTCCAAAAGAGATGGAGAACAGCTGGTCATTAATGTCAGCGCTGCATTCTGGTCATTTTAAAGGGCCTATTCTCAGAATTACATTGTCAGAGAAAAGGGTCAGTCTGTATATCATTTTTATAGGGACTCCTCTATTGAGTGACTAAACACCCACCTTAAAACTAGCTAAAGTATCCCTTCCCCACCAAAAAGGGGGTATATTCGAAGAATGGATTGATTCATGAAAAAGAAATGCCTAGGGATAGAATTTTAGGCTTGAAGGCTTTTGCATGGCTGGGTCTAGGGGTTCAAAGTCTGTCATTAAGACTCAGTCTCTATCTCCTGGCTTCAGTCTCAGATAAGCTCTTTCCCAGGACTTTGGGGTGCGGGGGGTGTTTAGAATGAGTGGTTCTGATGAGCGGTAAGGAAGAAAGGGTATATTAGAGTAGAATATTTTCTCTGGAGTTCTTCAAAACTTGGAATAGCTCAAATAGGATCTTTTTACAGATGATAAGAAACAACAAAAGCTTTTGCGACCCCACACAATGCTGTCACGTTTTGTAGGCATCGGAATTTCAAGTGTTCTTGATTCTTACGCACATTTTCACTATCACTGTGCTAATTTCCCGTTCGCCCAGTGCACAGTTACCCAGCTTAAAGACAGCAGACCTCTCTGGGGAATGTAGGAAGAAGCACTGTAAAGTTGGGGCTGTGAATCAAAATCCTTCCTCAAGGGGACCTGGTCTCCCCTGGCTTTATTCAAGAAGTTCTGTGAAGTGGCTCAAGTCTGGAATTCATTGAAGTACCTGACTTCCCGCTGTGGTAATTAAGTCAGATTTTTGTTCGCTTCACCCAGAACTTCTCTCTCCAGACAAATGAAAAAATAGTAGGTTGCCCTATCTATTTCAGTTCCAGGAACACTGATCGAGTGCTTGATCCAATGTCGAAGAGCTCTGCTGGCCAGGTCATTCTGGTAGCAGCTTCAGTTTTGTCCATTTTGCTAACAATACCTTACCTCTGGAGATTATGTGCTGCCTCTTGTCCCCTCGACGCCAAGATCCCATCTTCTCAATGAAGCAGGGGACCCTGTTGGAGGGCGGTGGTGCCCCTAGTCATCCTAGGCCCACACCGCAGAGCTCTTCACACAGGCCAGGCGGGTGTAGCCTCGGGATGCATTTTTCGTGGCCTTGATGAAGGGAGTGCCCATGGGATATAGCTAGGGAATGGGTAAACGGGTCGTACAGGACAGATCCACTCTAGCATTTCATTGTTGCCAAGGTTGGAATATATACCAGGGAAGTTCTGGTTTTCAGCCTCATTTAATGTCAGCCATTTGGGGGAATAGGTTTTAGCTAAGCAAGCGCTGGCGCACTGAAGCCAGTACTTCTGCTTTTTGCACCCATATAAAAAATTTGCCTGGTCCACCATCATCTTTATTCTAGCATGTTCCAGCACCTGCGAATAGCACCAGCCTATTCCATTCTCCTTTGTTTCCGAGGTTTCTATACATCAGCTAAATCTAATCCATTCCCTTCGGTGTGTGCTCATCTCTTGACAAGTCATCGTTGATACTTGATTTTCTGGGGCCTGCTGGAACTTGAGTCTGTTAATAGGGCAGAAGCCAAGAGAGGTGGTGGATGATGGGCAGACCTCAGCCCTTACGGGTTCTAAGTTTCATTGGAGTCTGTCCCCATATCTCATGTCACTGCACCTTCCCTTCCCTGACCATCCTATTTAAAAGGTAGCCCTCAACCTCCAAAGGCATTTACTGTCAGCCGTCCCAGCTCTCCTTTCTGCACCGTGACCACTGCCTTCCTTCACACCGTGTAGATCACTTATTCTCTAACAACGGGAATGTAAGTTCCTTGAGGACCGGAACTTTATTTTGTTCATGCTCTAGCATTTTTTGTTTCTAGAAGTGTTCCTACGTATAGTAGGTTGTCAGGATTGGCTGCGCATGTCTGTGGAATGATTGACTGATTGGTTCAGCCATTCTTTATTCATTTCACAGGTGTTCAACAGTAACAGCAAGCAATAGGCCTGCTGAGAGGGCGAGAGAGAGAGAGGGCGAGAGAGAGACAGAGACAGAGAGAGAGAGAGGGCGAGAGAGAGAGAGACAGAGAGAGAGGGCGAGAGAGAGACAGAGAGAGAGACAGAGAGAGAGGGCGAGAGAGAGAGACAGAGAGAGAGAGAGAGAGAGGGTGAGAGAGAGAGACAGAGAAAGAGAGACAGAGAGAGAGAGGGCGAGAGAGAGAGAGAGAGACAGAGACAGAGACAGAGACAGAGAAAGAGAGAGACAGAGAGAGAGACAGAGAGAGAGGGCGAGAGAGAGAGAGAGAGAGAGAGAGAGAGGGCGAGAGAGAGAGACAGAGAGAGAGAGACAGAGAGAGGGAGAGAGAGACAGAGAGAGAGACAGAGAGAGGGAGAGAGAGAGAGGGAGAGGTGGCTTGAGACGGATTCCGAGGCAGAAAATAACCACATCTTGCAGTGCGAAGGCCACGCTGGGAGGAGGCTGTTGTTCTAAGTACAGTGGGAAAAACCCCAAGAGTGTTTTGAGCCACAGAATTTTATTTTATTTTAAAGTTCGCCATGGTTGATGTTAGGAGAAGAGGCTTAGGAAGGCAAGCTGTGTAGCAGGGAAGCTCACTAGAAGACTGTTTTCAGCCCTTTGAAGTAGACACAGTGCTGGTTATAGCAGTTTCCCTTCCACCTTCTTCCCAGACCTTTGTCCACCTGCTGTTGTTCCTGCACCGCGGTGCAGCCTAGGGCCACAGGCTTGCAGCGGGGCTGCTGCTACTACGGCAGCGGCTCTTGATCTCGTTCTAGTGGCAGAGTTGAAGTCAGACTAGAGTGGTCGCCACGTGGACCCAAGTGAGTGGAGAGTAATAAACTTTGTTTCACCCGGTGCGATGCACGGGGGGACTTTTCTAGCATATTAGGATGTTTCATTCAGTTAGCAAACTTTCGAACTGTTTTTACTGATCTAGTTGCCTGATACATCATATATCAATATAAAACTTCAGAAACAAAATTGTAATTTGTAACATTCGATGTTTTAACATAAATAAGCATGCATGGAGTCTATAGATAATTCTGAGTAAGTTGTAGCAATTTTAATTTTCAATCTGTGTTTATAGTAGATCATAATATTTAAATCACGCTCTATAAAATAAAAGCATAATGAATAGCTATTAACATAAAGCCATATATATTAATAGTATGTTTTACAAACTAAGGAATTTTTATTTTATTATCTTTAATTATGTCTTTTTATTCATAGTATCAAGATACAAATATGCAGGGAGTTGTATACGAACTAAACAGCTATATAGAACAACGGTTGGATACAGGAGGAGACAACCAACTACTCCTCTATGAATTGAGTAGCATCATTAAAATTGGTAAGAAACGTTTTATATTCCTCCTAGTAGAAAAATTAAACCGAAGATAAAGTTAAATTATGTTCTCTTCACTGATGATATATAAGCATATGTACATCATTCTTTCTGGTTGATGCCTATATTATTGGTTATCCAGTATTATGAATATCACTTTGTCTAGTTTTAAATACTTTAAAAATTAAATGTAAGTCTCAAATTTAAAAAATATTTTCTAATAGTTCTGATATTCACATTTTGACAGATGTATTATTACATAGTACATTGCTGTATGCATTTGAGGGTGTCACATCTTAAAAATTGCAATAGCTAATATTCTAATTATGTGATTCAGTAAAGCCATAAATTATTTTGTTCAGTTTACTGCATGACCATTAATTTTGCTAACAAATCCATTCAAAAGACTCATATTTGAGGTCTCACCTTAGAGAATTCACGCATGTTATATTCTTCCATTGAGATTAGTTTCTTCCTTTTTTATTACTTTGGCAGCCACAAAAGCTGATGGATTTGCACTGTATTTCCTTGGAGAGTGTAATAATGTAAGTATCTAAATTTAGATATAGGTGCTCTAGATAAGAGAATGTTACAAGCTTCTTTAAAAAGATAAACTATTATGTTACAAACAACTTAATAGATGTATCACAATTAAGTACCTTAAAGCTCATTTTGTATTTTGTTTCTATATGTGGTTATTACCAGTTGGGAATTTTGCCAACATGGTGACATTTAGGCATAAAATCATATATTTTTTATTGTTTTGGTTTTGGTTTGTGGTATCCTATTTTCTGAATGGCATATCTAGACTTACTGTTTGGTATAGAAGTTCTTTCATCACTGTGGGCTGGGATGTCAGGGACAGTCTATGCCCTTTTTTCACACACAATCCACGGTAGAAGAAAATGAGAGCAGAAGTTTTATGTGAATATTTTAGATAGTTTTTAAGATGACTCTCAAAGTGCAGGGATGGAGTTGCTAGGTATAGATTCCTGAGCTGTGGTGGCCGTGGCTCAGACTGTTTGGTGGCATGGGGCTGCCCAGGGGTGCCTGGTCCAGTCTTTGGTGCGCCAGGCAGACCCTGTGTTTCTGGCTTGACTCACTGCAGGCACAGCCCACTGTCAAGTGCAGCTTGCATAGGCACTTTCAAAAGTATTTCGAGGCATTCCATTACTGGCATTTGAGTTTTATTATGGTATCAACACATATGTAACATTTTAGAAAAATGTTCTGAACCAATAACACCTATATTCATAGCCGAAATATATAAGACTCCGTTACAAGGTTATTTTGCAAACTTTTACTGTGTATTTCTTGTGCGTTTGGTATTGTTATTTGAGATTTGGGATGTATTTTTGCAATGTGATATTTGTTTTTGTGAGTAATCAAAACTCACAAAATATATAGTATAATATTTATATAATATTTATATTATATAAAATGTTAATAGGAATAGAGACACAGTCGTCTGAGATTTTTAATAGTATTCATGTGCAAAGCACAGCAGTAGTTGCACAAAAAGTATTTATTGGCTGAACGACTTAGCTCATAACTGATCCTCTCCATTTGCACGGTCCTCGTTTCCCCTTGCGTTGTGATAATCTATGTTACAAGATTAAAAGCTCTTTAGGACAAGGACCTTTCCTTATTCATTTCTGTATTCACCTAGCATCTCTCCTAGTGCCTTTCGCATAAACAGTCAACAAGAGGGTTTAGTAAATTGAATTATTCACAATTACTCCCACTTGTAAATACTTTATGTTTTACATACCAGTAGTATTTTAGAATGGCTAAGCTACTAAAATAGCAAACAGATCTCTTTCCTCTTCATTCCAAAAATTTGTTTCTAAAATTTGAGATTTTTACTTAAAAATCAAAACTTCCTTTCAGAAAATTATTATATAATTTGCTATAATTTTTATGATTCCTGGTATGTTTATTATCATGTAACTGTGATAGTCCACATCTCATTACTCCTTCCCCAACATCTCCAGACAACCCACAGGGGTTGGCCATGGCAGCCGTGTTTGTTTCATGTGACCCCTGACCTTCAATCACAGCTCTTTGTGACCCAAACGGGGACCAGTCAGATTCTCTACTGAAACCTGGATCGTGGGCTCAGCATTCTAGCTGTTTACCTGAAAAGAAATGATATGAACCCTAAGCCGAGGCTGCCACGGTGGGTTGGCCCTCTTCTGCTCCACGTGAAAGTGAATGGGGAGAACGGGGAGACCTTGTTTGCAGAGGTCGAAAAGCGGCGGGCGCCTCGAGGCCTGGGTCTGCAGTGTGGGCACCTCCAACGGTGCTTGACTCTTGGAGCCTGGATTTAGATTCCCAAACCCCATGCTGTTAATCACTTGGCTATACTTTTCACTTCATTGTTTGCATACTTCTGCGTGATTATGATTTAGAAAACGCTTTTGTATCTATAAAATCCAAAATGTAATTCTCTGTATATCAATTCTAATTCTTTCACTTTTACTTATCATTCCCTTTTGTAGCTTAATTGAGGGGGGATGCCAAGTCTTTTCAGGCTTCAGTGGGCGTCTTATTCTAAACCCCTCACGTCAGTTAATATACTCTATGTGGTTCTCTCTAGGGTCATTACTCCTTTCTCTGCCGCATCTCAGGGGCCAAGTGTATCCTGTTTAACCGTATAACCCTAGGAGCAGCAGGGTACATAGCAAAACTGTAGCTTTTTCTGACCTTCCTAAGTCAAATTCCACTCTGCTATGCTTTCTTTTTTTTTTTTTTGTGGAACATGGGCCCGCGGGCCTCTCACTGCTGTGGCCTCTCCCGTTGCGGAGCACAGCCTCTGGACGCGCAGGCTCAGCGGCCATGGCTCACGGGTCCAGCCGCTCCGCGGCATGTGGGATCTTCCCGGACCGGGGCACGAACCCGCGTCCCCTGCATCGGCAGGCGGACTCTCAACCACTGCGCCACCAGGGCAGCCCCTGCTATGCTTTCTTAATGTCATATACTTCTCCTTCATAGAATTTAGCTGAACCTGTAGTTACATATTTATCTGTGATTTGTTCGATTATTTGCTTATCTGGCTTTCTCACTAGAATATAAGCCTCACGAAAGCAGAGACCTCGTCTCCCTGGGAGGATGATTTTAGGGGATAATGACCGTGTTCTTTTCACTCTACTTTTCCTTTCATGCATTCCACATAGGTAGTGAGGCCCTCGTTACTTCCTTAACCCAGTGGTTTCTCTGGATAGGAAGAAGACATACTGTCTGAAGTCTGAAGTTCACTGAGGTGTTTCTTTAGATGTATCTACCTAATTACCAGTTTCTTTGCTCTTCATTTCTTCTTATATCTCAGGTCTGACATTTGGAATCAGTTTTTTTCTGTCTCGGAGAACTTCCCTGAGTGAGAATCTGCTGATTTGAAAGAAACTTTCTCATTTTTGTGTGTCTGAATATATCTTTCTTTCACTGCTTGCTTGAAAGATATTTTTGCTGGATGGAGAATTCAGGTTGATAAATATTATCTCTCCATATATTGACTATAATTAGTTACATTTTGGTGGTTTTTAGATTTGTCTCAGTCCTTCATTTTTCTTTGTCCCCTGGACATATTTTCAAGTTTATCTTTTATTTCTTGAAATATGACTCACTATACCTCTCTTGTATTGTTTCAGATTCTTTCTGAAATTAGTTTCTTGGCTTTGGTTCATCTGCCTTTCATCGATGGTGACTTATATGCTCATGCCTTTTATTTATTAACCATAAATCATATTCCTTTGGCCCTTTTAAATGGATATTCTTGAGGCTATTGAAGTTCCTTTCCTGTTATATTTCTAGAGATTGGATATGTATTTGTTTTTGTCAATCACCTAAGGCAGTATCAATTCAGGACAATTTTAATCAAATTATCTAGTTGAGATTTTTTTTCAGACTACTGAGTGGTATAGATTCAAGCCTCAAATCCACATGATGTGCAGTTATTGTTTTTCAGAGGAGATTTTTATTTTCCCTCCAGCAATAAATCCAGATATATAATCTGGTTTCCTTGTAATCCCCTTGCAGCTGTAAGTATATTCGCCCTTCAAACTAAGATGAGCCCATAGCCCTTTGCTGGTCCTGGCCCCATCCATGCAGCTGAAAATCCACATATAACTTTACAGTCGGCCCTCAGTATCCACGGGTCCACACCTGCAGACTCAAATCAGCCACAGATGTGTAGTACTACCACGGCATTTATTGAAATAAATTAATGGACCCACGCAGTTCAAAACCATGTTGTTCAAGCGTCAACTCTATATCTAGGCTTTAGTTGATGCTCTCAAGAAAAAGACAGTTTGGGATTTGCTTACCTCACAGGGTTCCTTTATCTACTTCCTTTTAGATTTCTGTGGATTCCTCCATTCTTCTCAGCCCAGCGATGCATTATAAAATATTTGTGAAATATACTTTATCCAGCTTTTAAATAATTTTAAAATTGTTTTTTTCAGGAATGTCAAATTATCTAATCTGCCATATTGCTTGCAACAGATGTTGACATACTTCTAAAATGTAAGCTAACCATATTAAATAAAATAAAACATATTTTTAACAATGAGCAGATACATGTATATTTTCTTATATTTCTTCCTTTGTACGTGAAAGGTAGCATATTATAGATATTTATCAATGTTTTTAAAAATTGTCTCTGGATTTTGAATCATAGTTAGAAAGTGTTTCTTAATAACTCACTTTCAAAACAAAATATATATACTTTAGTGACAGAATTATAATAATGCAACCCAAATGGACTGAGATAAAATTTTTAGTCTATATGAATAAATACCAAGGATTAAGACAGACATGGCAGGGACTATAACATTCTTATACTTATAAAAGTATTAATTTCTTTTTTCGTAAATGAGAATCAGTAGAAAAAATTTAATTTCTGAAATTGATGCATTGAGGAATATAATTTAAATAATATTTAAATACATCAAAAGTTATACTAGGAGAATTTAAAAGCCACATTCATATTACCAGAGAGGAAAAATTTAAAGAAAACATAGAAAGTTTAGGAGATGATAGAAAACAACCTAAGTGGTATTAAAGCACTAAAAATAAAGCATGAAATATGATTATCACAATCATTTTGAAGATAATTTAAAAGATAGTAAAACAATAGAGTGAAAATGACAAATTATGAGAGGATACTTATATTAATAAATGTGAAAACCTAGATAAAATGGACAGTTTTTGAGGAAAATATAAATTGCTCCATTTAATGCAAATGATGATAGAAAACTCATAGACCAGTAAATGGAAGAAATTGAAAGCAGTGTTGAAATAATGTGTTTTAAAAAGCTCGTAGGACATTTATTTAACACTGCCTCTTGAGCCCCAGCCTTGGTCAGGCAGTCGCTAGCCGTGGGGCGCACGGATGAACCAGAATCGTTTGCTGTACGTCTGCACTCAACACTCCACTGGGGACAGCCCTTCAGGAGAGAGAATTCCTGTGCCGTCTACACTGTCTCAGAGCTTGGGAAGAGAAGGCAAGCTTCCCAGTTAGCAGCTTAGTTTTCCAAAGAATTTTGAT